TCCGCTACCCAGGGAGAAGCCCATCGTTCGATTTGTCAGACACGACGGACAGCCAGACACGGTACCGCACTTTGGGGGGCTCACGGGAACCGACGGGTCGTGCACCAAGACAGGCATTGCGGAGTTAGACAGAGCGACGTTTTCGGCAGTGGCTTACAGTACCGACGGGGCCCCAGAGGCCTCCTTTTATGGCGCTGTCGCAGCCAACCTCCCCCAGACTTCTCAGGCTGGGGAGCACATGGGCTTCCTGGTGCTCCAGGAAGCCCTCACCAAACCTTCCAAGGTCTGGGTGGACTGCAAAGCGGTGCTTGATCAGCACGCTAGGCCACTGCCGACACGTCTCAGCAGTAAGCTAAAGTACTCAGGCCTGCACAAGCTAGCGCTTGCGCGGGACAGCAGACACCTCCTCGAGACGGCCTCTAAGGTCAAGAGCCATCAGAATGTGAACTCATTGGCTGGTGAGGCCAGACTCGCTGCCGAGATCAACACAGCAGCGGACAAGATGGCGAAGGCAGCAATGGACTGCCACCCAAGTTTCAACCCGACAGCGCTGCAGGAGTTGCAGCGCAAGATAGAGGCCGCTCGAGCGATTGGTTTATACGCGCCCAGAGTGCTCGCCCTTTGCCAGAGCAATAGGCACAAATGTGAGAGAGCCGCTCTGCCCTGTAAGGTTCAGGCCACCATCGTCGTGCACGACTGGGAGGTTCTTCAGGGGCCGATACCGTACAGGTGCAGAGCATGTTTTACGTACGCCCGATCTTATAAGGCTGCCGTAGCACGAGAGAGACAAGCATGCCAGCCTCTGGCCAGCGCATTCAGGCGCGGCCTTGAAGGCATCCACGCCAGCCACCAGATGGCAATAGCGCATTTTGCCGTGCCAGTTGTCTTTTGCTTAGTTTGTGGGCGCTACGCCCAGTATGCTTTCAGAGGCTTGCCAGCCACTTGTCCTGGACGCCCTCCCAAGAGTGGCGGACGTGCGAACATCAGAAATCGTCTTCTGGCTGGCAAGCATCCAAGGTTTTCAGATTTTGCTTCAGAGACCGAGCGGTACAACACCGCAGAAATTCAAAGGCAGCAGCGGGCGCAGCGCGAACTCGCAGCAGCGCGCGTTGCGATGCCACTCCCGAGTCAGCCGCACCCACGCTCGGAGCCTCGCCCACAGAGGTTCGAGGCTGGTCGAGGGCGCCAGCAGCTTTCCAGCAGGCGCCCAGAGGAGGATGGGGAACTCATCCCTCCTGTGGGTTTTGGCGAGGACGACTCGGGATCCTCGGACTAGGCCCCCGTCCAAGGCCCACCGCCACCTCGGCGGTGCTGCGCGCTTGTGAGGGGCCACCCGCCCGACGGTCTCTGCCCTGGGTCTCCGCCACTGGCACGCCCAGGCACCGTCGGGCCACCCCACCTGGAGGGTGACTGGCCAGAGCTGCTTGCGTATGGCCCGAGTATGGAGAAAAAAAAAAAGCTGGACGTCGAAGAGATGGGTTCCGCGCGCAGCCGCCTCCGCGTCGACCCTCTGTGCAGCAGCCGCAAGTGGGTGAAGAGAATCTGGGCGGCCTGGGCGACAGTTCGAGTAAGAGATGGATTGCGACATGGATTTCCCCCGAATCGCTGCGCCGCCAAATCTGTAGACAAGAACATGGGATGCTCCGCAGATCCACGGAGCAGTCGGCGTAGTTGTGTTGCCGGTTCGGCTAACATTTGAGGGTACACTCAACTCGTTTAAACTCGATATCAGATACCGACTTAGTTTAGCGGAGATCTATTTCTGCCGAGTCTAATCTTCGGAATTGCAGAAGTCGGGGACCGAAACTTCCGATCTAGTTTGGCCGAGACCTAGTTTCACCGATTCTATTTTTAACGAGCGGAGAGTAATCCAATTCTGTAGTCAATTTCTTCTCGAGGTCTAGCCGGCCTGGGCGAGAGTTGCTCGCACATGCGGCCATCGATCGTTTTAGCCCCTGGCCCTCCGGGTGCACCAGCCCTCCACGTGCGCCCGTGGCCGTGTAAGCTTCCAGCTCCCCGGCAGCGGGCATTCAGGCGACAGCGTTCAGTCCCCGATGCGCAGGACCGCAGCCTGGGCAGCGGGAGGACAGCCCAGGTGCCCGAGACAGCTCAGTCGCCCTCGCAGTGCTCTGTCTGCTGGTCGGCAAGGGACCCCCCGCCCGTTGGGGCTGGCCCGGCCGACGGCTCGGCAAGAGTCCCCTCTGTGCTTCAAGGGGCGGTCATGAGGGAGAAAGGGGTAGGGGAGGCGGATCGGACCACTGAGTTATCAGGGCAGGGGGTGACCAGGGACAACTCCAGATTCGAGCCTCTGGCTTCTTCGCCAGGGTTGCCCCAGATTGCATTCAATTTGATTTCTCCCGGGTCACATTCTGCCTTTTGTAGATATTCGTAATTGTTCTCCTGAATCAGGAGTTCTTCCAGATCAGGCGTTTCAAGGGCTTTCCTGGACCACGTTGGGAGGCTCCAAACAGGGCCCTGGACCAGACCTGGTCCATCCCGGATAATTCGGGTTCCCAAAGGGAGGGGCAGCGGGGGAAAGGAAGCCAGCGGAAGGAGCAGCAGGTGGGACGGGACATGCGGGCAATAGATCCTGGGGGGGGGGGGGGGGCGAGATGGAGGAAGGAAGGGAGGAATGAGAACGGAGGAGGCTGGACGAATAGGAGGAAGAGGAGGAGGAGGAGGAGGAGGAGGAGGAGGAGAAAGAGGAGGAGAGAGGTTAGGAGGAGGAGGACCAGTGTAAACCCAAGAGTCATCAACGATGTTGGAATTCACCCTCCCTTCTAAGCTCCCTCTTCATAGGCCCCTCCAACGGCTCATTTCCATTCCAGGAACTGCCCCGTTGGAAGACAACCGTTTGAAGATCCTGAAGCATGCCAAAACATTGCTCGCGGGATTTCAACGCCACGCGTCAACCTGACTGCTGCGTTCTGGCGATCCAGAATCGTGCCATAACGCCATTTTTCTGAGTTCAACACCGCGAATCAACATAACGGTTGTGCCCGCATAGCCCTGAAATCTTCCAGAAGGCTTTTTGTTGGTACGCTGGCCATGGGAAGCCGTGAGCTCTTACATTTGTTTAACGACTGTGCGCGGCGCTACGGCGGGAGCCACATTTTGAAAAGGAACCGCCCTCAATACATGAAACCCTTGCCTTTGTTTTAAAGAATGCGCGTGGCGCTAAGGCGAGAGCCAAATTTTGAAAACGGCCCGCCTTCACTCCGTGAAACTACTGCAAGTTTTGCTTGCGAATGTGTGTGTGTGTGTGCGGCCCTAAGGCGAGAGCCGCATGTTGAAGACGACCCGCCTTCAATCCGTGAAACTCTTGCAACTGTTGAAAACGAGTGTGCGCGGCGCTGAGGCGAGAGCCACATGTTGAAAACCACCCGCCCTCCATCTGTGAAACTGTTGCCAATTTTTTAGGTTCAGAATCATAACTGGTGAGGAGGTCGCAGGCGAAACGCCCGGCCCGCCCTAAAAACTGGCCTCGGGGTGCGACAGGGAGGAGTTATGTATAAGGAGATGGAACGGAGGAGGAGGAGGAGGAAAGGGAGAGGAAGGAGGGAGAAGGAGGTGGTGTAGGAGGGAAAGGAGGAGGAGGAGGAGGAAGAGGATGGGATGGACGGGAGAGGGAGCAAGATGAGGGGAGAAGGGGGGACGTTGTAGGGGAAAAGTGAAGCGAAGGAGGGCGGAGGGAGGATGGGAGAGGAGACAGGAGAAGACGCGTCACCATGTTGCAAGAAACCCTGCCGCCCAGTTCTCTCTTCACAGGTCCCTATAATAATGTATTGGCATTGAGGGAAGCACCCCGTTGCAAGACATCCATTTGAGGATCCCCATGCGTTCCGCGGATCAACGTGACTGGTTGCGCCCTCACAATCCGAAAGCGCTCCCACATGCCATTCCCTGGACTCCAACTGCGCGAATTCACGTGACTGCTGCGTCCTGAGAGGCACAACTTGTGCCAGAACGCCACGTCTGGGAACTTTGACCTGCTGCAACTTTGAGGACGGATGTGCTCGGCGCTGAGGCGCTAGGCTCATGTTAGAAAGGCATCGCCTTCCAACTTGAAAGATTTTGTAAACTTGGGAAACAAATGCGCGCAGCGCGAAAGCAACAGCTACATTTTGAAAACGGCTCGCCCTTCATCCGCGAAGCTGTCCGTACTTCTAAGACGAATGCGCGTGGCAAATTTCAAGATCCTTGAACAGTTGAAAGAAAGTCTCAGACGAAACGCCTGGCATGCCCTACCGACACGCCTGGGGGTGTGACAGGGATGAATTATGTTGAAGGGAAGGGCTGGAGGAGGGGGGGGAGGAGAAAAGAGGACAAGGAAGAGGATAGGATGACGAGGAATATGAGGAGGAGGAGGAAGATGAGGAGGAGAAGGAAGATGATGTTGAGGAGGACGAGGAGGAGAGAGGACAGAGCTGAGAGGAAAGAGGCAACCGAGTGCCTTCACACCATATCTGTCATCCATCCCTTCCCATAGCGCTGATTATGTTCCCTCCGCCGACCGGTGTAATGCGGACCTGGACCCGCAGACAGGACCCCATCGTTGGATGGCGTATGCATTCAGAGGAAGGGAAGCTCTTGTACATTGGAGAAGAGGAAGAGATAGAGAAGGAACAAGGGATGTCGAATGCGGAAAAGCATGAGCGGGAGGACGAAGATGAGCATGGAGGATGACGAGGAGGAGTTAGAGGAGTAGGAGGAGGAGGAAGAGGAGGACGAGGAGGAGGAAGAGTCGGAGGAGGAGCAGGAGGAAGAGGAGGAGGAGGACGAGGAGGAGGAAGAGGAGCAGGAGGAGCAGGAAGAAGAGGAGGATGAGAAGGAGGAGGAGGAGGACGAGGAAGAGGAGGAGGAGGAGGAGGTGGAGGAGGGGGCGGAGAGGCGGAGGCGAAGGCCGCGGAGGAGGAGGCGGAGGAGGGAGGGGGAAGGAGGGAGCAGCGGAGGGAGAGCCCGGGAGGCGAGGCTCCCGCGCCGCCGCCGCCTCGTCGCAGGTGAGCCTCGGCTTCGAGCTGGTGTCTGACCTGCCCGAGCTGAACCCGCCGGCGCGGGGCCCAGAGCGAACGGCGGCCGCCCCCCTCGTGCGGGCGGCTGGGCGAGGCAGCGGCTGGCCGCGGGGGAGGACCGCGGCCAGCGCCAAAAGGAGGCGAGGGCTTATCCATAAGCACAGCCCGGGGGTATGGATCTTCGGGGACCTCGGCAGGCGGTGGGCATGGATGTGTGTGTGTGTGTGTGAATGTATACACGTGTTATACGTAAACAGAGTCAACCCGCGTAGTAAGGATGGGCCACCTTTCCAAGGCTGCTGCCCTTGCATCCTGGCCCCATTCGGCCCATCCCGAGCGACTTTCGCTGGCCAGCACCGCTTGAAAAAAACGTTAACATGACCCTCCAAGGCCCTTGCATCCTTATCGCGCATCTTTGTTATACGGGTTGACTGTAGCTGCAGTGCAGTAGTCTAGGTCTAGCGTCTTTTTGACCAGCCGAGCTCTTCAGCGTGGGAGCGGCATGCCAGCGATCGGGTCCAAGGAGATGGTCTAGAACGGGCTCCAGGAGGAGAAACCTGTTGGGAAGGGTTTCTCACGGGGCGTCGTTGTCTCGATGTACGCGCGCGGGGGGCAGAGGACGGGAAAAAAGACGGGGACTCTAAGAGGCAAGACAAGGGAGAAAACAAAGGAAATGACGTCGTAGAGGACGGCTTGGGAGCCGAGCTGGAGGAGAAAGTGGAGCGCCTGTGGGTGACCACGGGGGCGCAGACGGAAGCCCTGCAGAAATTCGAACCCCTGCATGCGAACAGCGTGATGATTCCGAGACCGACCAAGAAGTATTCTACACGTCATTGGACGGGGTCACACAGGAGCTCGGCACCACGGGTCTCAACAACATCAGCAGCGTGAGCCCGTAGGACGCTACGGTGACAGTGCATGTCTGATTGCCAGGGAAGCGGAGTTGTGACAAGATCCAAAATTCGATCGCGTGAGCAGGGAAGACGGATGTATTGATGTGCTACATGGCGGCCGGGCAACTGAAGCAGGTGGTCTTCGAGATGCCGCGGGTCGGGCTCGCCTCGCTGCGCGACCTGCTCGGGCAGGATGCCAAAAACGACTTGTATACGTGGTGGCCGGCGCGAGGCTACGATCAGAATGGTGCATCACGATTGGGGGCTGCGACAGCTGATCGCTGCCGTGGTTGACAAGAAGAGCTTCAAACACAAATGGAACAAACTACGACGGCCACGAGTTTGGGAGGCGTTCTGTGGCGAAGGTCAGGGCGCTGGGGAGGTGCTTCGTTGCCAAACCGCTACGAGGTAAGGAGCTCCTGCAGCGCGTCGTGAGCGAATCGGATCGTGACATGGTTCTCGTCATGGGAGGGGGGGGCCTCTCTCGTCGAGGGCATCCCCAGAAACCCCGATTCGGCCAGAACCGCCGCGTGAATTTCAGAGGTATCCTGGTGCCAAGTGGATTTGGGTACTGTTGAAAAGAGCGGCCACCTGGGCAACTGGCAGAAAGCCACGAGCTGAGGAGAGTGCAGACCTGGACAAACAAGGCTACAACGGCCGTGCCAAGAGAGACAATTGCGACCTTCACCTTGACATGCAATGAAGAGGATACGAATGTCACAATTCAGTTCAAAAGCGTTGTCGGATTATTACCGTGGTCCACCTCTCCAGGTCCGTCCCCACGTCGCCGATGTGTAAGTGAGTTCAGAGACGGACCACAGCTCCACATCGGCTACGTCCACCACCGCACTGCGAAATAAAAGTCCTCGCCGGCACGTTGCGGGGACACCTTTGGTGGGACACGTGCGTGGCGCGGCCGCTAGCACACCCTGCGCCACCCTCCAGGCCGTCAGTGCTGCCACCTGTATTCCTGCAAAAGGGAAGGCGTTGTGTCGGTGGCGTAGTGCTGGCAGCAGGTGCGACTTCAAGTTTGGCAAACTGCCGGGCTAGCACGGGTGATCTGCGAGGCACCGGGTAGCCCGACCCGACCATTGCCTCAGTCGCGGCGGAAAAGGGCAGCCATGTTGTTTGGGACGCACCTGTGCATCTTGTGTGTTGTCACATGGTGGCGCACACACATCTTGCGGGATCGCCCTGCCGATTCCCGCGGGGTGGGTGGACCGTTTCAGGTGGGTGGCCGAGTGGCCGATGCAGTCTGGCTATTTCTCGGTTCGAGAGCGTCAAAGAAGACAACATGGTAAACTGTGTCTTTCTGCGTTTCTCTCTGGTTCGGCCGGCGTTGCGGCTGGGGGAGACACGCGAAACACGATAGCCTGCGCATTGTGGCATTGTGGAGATGCTCCTGTCTTGTCCCCCAGCGTTTATCCCACTATGCGGGATAGCGAGTGCGCAGCTGGACTGGAGGTATCAGACAAATTTTGAAGTGGTAGCGCCAGTGTCCGGATCAGCGGAAGCTCGTCGCACGTACATGTCTCATATGCGCGTGCGCTCCCGTATTGCATTGCCGCTTTGGCCTCACTGCCGTCGTTTCCACCGCGCGTGGCCCCAGGAGAGGCAGTCGTCTTGCGGGGCCAGTGCTGGTGCAAGGGCGAATGGAGGTTCAGGACTTCGCTGGCGTCGCCGTACCCGCCGCGGATGACGGTGCTGATGGCGAAGCTCATTAGCGAGAGCCTGGTTATGAAGACGTCTGCGACCACGCATGATGATGTCCCGCATGCACCCGCAGCCGATGATGATAGGAGGCCTTGTCCAGCCGTGCCGCCCATGGTGCCGCCCGAGGGCCATGCATGCTACGCGGAGGGCGTCGACCTGCTGGCGGGCAACATGTTCGTCCCGGTTCAGCTCCGTAGCGCCGTCGCTCGCGCCCACTTCGCCGACGTTGACGATGGCGTTGGTGAGGAGTGCGACGACTTCGCGCCGTGCGGGTTGGGCTCGAAGCACGATTGGCTGCCCGATGACCGCATCCAGTGGGCCTTCAACCAGCCGTTCCCATTCGCCGAACAGGAGGCCAAGCTTGACATCAAGTTGCAGCGCGCTGCAAGGGAGACAGTTGCGCTACTCGGGACAGACAGGTTACAGTACTGGACGCTGAGGGCTCTCCAGTTGAATGCAGAACGGGCCAGGTGGGTTGCGGGGGGCCCGTCGCAACTCAGACGCACGCTGGCAGCCATGCACGGGCCGCTCAATGCGCGTTGTTCGCACGACGTGAATTTGGCAATGGACCTCCAGCAGGGGATGCCACTTGTCGGCGTTCTGCCCCCGCCCCCTGATTTCTGAAAGACTGGGGGCGAACAGACGCGCGGCCTTTCTGTTCCCGAGCTGCGCGTGCAATTGGCCGAGCGCAACCAGTGCGTGATGTCGACGTTGGTCTCGTCGGAGTGGTCGGCTGACCTCTGGGAGTCGCTTGTGGATGACGCGCAAGCCGGGTGCATGATTCCCCCAGTCCCCGTCCATCAGTTTGACCTCTCTCGCATCTCCCTCACGCGTCGTTTACTTGTTAGGGAGGAGAGGCTCAAGGGACCGAGGACTCGACCGGTGGACCAGTTCACGGAGCCCGGCATCAACCCAGCCACGCGGCCGCAGGACGCCATCGTCCACGAAACGGTGGACCATTTTGTCTCGCTGCTTGCCACGTGCATGTCCGAGGGCATGGCGCCGTGGATGTGGAAGCGCGTGGCGCAGGCGTTCCGGAAGGTTCCCATCCAGCGCGATTTACACACCTCAGTTGGATCATATTTGGGCATGTTGGTGTCGGGCGGGCGGCACAGCATTTGGCGATCCCCGCTTTGGGCCCAGGTCCGCTAATTAGGCGTGGGATCGGATAGGGCGTCTCCTCAAGATCATCCTGACGGAGGTGTGCTTGGCTCCCGCGCGCAGGTGCGCGGGCGACTTCTTCGGCTGCGATCCGCTGGGCTGCATGGTCACGGGGGGCTTGTGCCTCGCAGCCATGTGCGCTTTGCTCGGTGTCCTTGCCGACCCGAGCAAGGAAACTGACCGCGCGCTGGATCTCGCAGTGCTGGGAGCACGCGTTCTACTCGAGGTTGCAACCGTGCCCGTCTGTCTCGGCCGCGGCGGACGCGACCAAGGCGCAGATATGGACGAGGGCATGGCGAGCGAGAAGGAGTTGCGGCGCATGGCGAGCGAGAAGGAGTGCAGGCAGGATTCGCAGATCAACTTCCTGGAGATGCTGGCGGCGCTCCTCTTCGTCGCGACGTTCCAGGACATTATCTGCGGCGCCGCCGCCTTAGTGATCATCGACAAAAACGGCGTCTTGGGCAGCCTTCTGAAAGGGCAGCTCCAGCGAGCCGGAAGCGAACATCCTCGCGGGGAGGATCTGGCTTCATGCAGCGGAGTGGTCCTGGGCCCCAGTTTGGGCCAGAGCCGAGTCAGTTGCAATCGTTGCTGATGGCCCGTCCCGCCGCGACCCCGCGCGTGTCGAGAGGCTCGGGGCAGCGTGGGTTGCGCCTGTCTTGCCGCAGTGGCCATCTACTTTGTGGCCCTTTGGTTGCGGCGAGGAAAAATCGCCGCAAAGTTCCTCTGGGTTCTGGTGGCCGGACGCGTGCTCCGACCCCGGCCCTCACCCGTCTAAAGCAAGGCTAGGATCGGGATAAATCGCTCCAGAGCGTTCCGGAGCGCTCTCAGAGCGTTCCGGAACGCTCTGGAGCGGCCGCGGCGCCCAATACATCCTCCAAACCCGCCGATTCTCAGAGATTTCGAGTTATCCCGATCCGATTTTGTCCCGATCTTCGCGTCGTTTTACCGTCTTCAGGTTTACCCATCCCCTGGGCGAGGTCGTCGCCGGCGCTCCCACGTGCGCGCCCCGCGCAAAAAGAGGGCGTGGCGGGGTGTTATATTCCGCTTGGCCCGCGCTGTCATGACCTAGCACGCTGGGCGGGGTGGCCCCGACCTCTGTTGTCCAGGCGTGTCTGGGCGAGGCGGGGTAGGCGCATGACGACGCGTTGCGGTCCCAGGCCATGTTTGCCGAGAACGCTCGATGGGCAACCCCGTCCTCCCTTACCCAGGTGCTGGGCGAGGCGGGGTGGGCGGGCTACCCGCGGCCCCCAGAGGCCTCCGGAGATTTTGGCCTGCTTCGGCCTGTGTTGCCGGAGGCGCGGAGCTACCCGCAGCCCCCAAAGGTTTTTGGAAATGTCGGCCGGGATCGGGCCGTGCATGTCGATGGGCCCGCGCCCCCATGACCTGGCATGCTGGGCGGGGTGACCCCGACCTCTTTTTTCCTGGGCGTGCCTGGGTGAGGCTGGGCGGGTTCATGATGATGATTGTTGCCCCAGGCTCTGTGGCCGAGGACACTCGGTGGGCAACCCTGTCCTCAGTGACCCAGGTACCGGGCGAGGCTTACTCCTGGAGGCCATCCTGAGCCCCAGGTGACCATTGCGCCTGCGAGCTCGCAGCAATCTGCTTCTCAAGCGGTGCTGTGCACTCAGGCCCAGGGCACTAGCGTCATGGATGGCAGTAGAACGCACTAAGAGATAGCCCATGAGAAGCTTGTGACAAGGCTTGCCAGACTCCGCGATGCTGGCTGCGAAGCGGTCCTGTGGGAGGAAGGCCACAAGCTCGTGCCTGTGGGATACCGTTGCGCCCGCCCTGCCACCGGCTTCTTTCGGGTGCGGGTAAGGCCCCGCCTGGCTTGATGATGATGATGATGATGATGATGATGATGATGATGAGGATGATGATGATGATGATTGTGATGGTGATGGTGATGATGATGGTGATGGTGATGGTGAGGAGGATGATGAGGATGATGATGATGCTGCTGAGGATGGCGATGATGATGATGATGATGATGGTGATGAGGGTGATGCTGATGATGATGGTGCTGATGATGATGTTGATGATGGTGGTGGTGGTGATGCTCGTGATGGTGATGGTGGTCGTGAGTGTGATGATGATACTGATACTGGTACTGATACTGATACTGATGACGATGGTCATCATCATCATCATCATCATCACCACCGTTATCACCACTCATCTACCTCATCATCCGCATTATCAGCAGCAGCACCCCAATCCTCATCGACATCACCACCACCATCATCAGCATATTCATCATGCGCAACGTAATTCTTACCACGTGCACCATCATCAGCCGCATGGCCATCGTCATACTCGTCTGCATCATCATAATCATCACTTGGTCATTCTCATTCGCATCATAATTGTCGCTACCATCATCAGCAGCATCATCATCAGTACCATAATCATCACCACCAGCATCATTCGATCGTTATCTTATATCGCCTTCCCTTTGTGTTGCAAGCCCATTCTGCACTCGCTCTCCCCCCGAGTTCCCTTGTGCCTCCACTAGCTGTGGTCTTTGTCACCTCAGCTTTCCTCACCCCCCACGCTGCTCAGGAGAGAGGGGGGGATGGGGAGGCTACTCCCTCCCTCCCTCCCTCCTCTCTCCCCCCCATATCATTATCTTCCTCTTCTCCCCCTCACCCTCCCCCCTCCACAGCTACACATGACGAATCCGATTATCATCCATCCACGGACTTCCGAAACAATGGCCTTCGCCAGGATGTTGTTCATACTCATGTATGTTTTTGTTTCAAGATGATGTGCCCGCTGCAGCGTGGGTCTCCGTTTCGGATCCGCGGTTTGTTTCCGTCGTTCAGAATGGCGTTCTCGCCTCAGCGCGGGCCCTTCTCTGGACTGTTTTTTTTTGTTTTTGGTTTTTTTTTTGTTTTCTGGTCGCTCCCACCATTTTCCCCGCTGCTGTTGTTCGTCCTCATCCTTCTCTGCTTCACCTCCTTCTCCTCCACATCCTACGCCTCTTTCTCCTCCCCTCTGCACCTCATTCCTGTTCACCCGCCACCTTCTCCGATGTACGCAGCACCCCGTCTTGTTCGATTGCGCATGACACGATGGGTCCTCTGTGGAGTTCGAGGTCCGCTATGACACGCGTTCGCGGATAGAGGCAACACTCGGCGCCATAGGAAGGGATCGGTGGGAGGGGTAGGGTGCCAGATATGACGCGAGTGCACCTGGTCTGTCCTCCCTCCCTGTCCCCCCTCCTGCCTCACCCCATTCCCTCGCCCAACCCTCCTCTCCTATCCCCCCCTTCCTCCACCCCTTTTCTCCTCCCCCTCTTGATCCTCCCTCCCTCCCTCCCTCTTCCTCCCGCCTCCCCCTCCCCTCCCCACACCCTTCGCCCCCTCCCTGAAACGACCACGGATCGATCGATCGCCCGCTCGCTGGCGAGCGCCGAGGTGCTGCACGAGCTGGTCGTGCAGCTGCCGCCAGACTTCTCGCAGCAGGCGGGGCCCCGCGCCGTCGCCGCGTGGCGCGGCCCGCCGCCTTAGGACCCGTCGGCCTCCGCCCCTCCCGCTGCGCAGCACGGGGCTGCCCTAGCCAATGCGGCTTGCAAGTTTCTTTATCGTGCTATGATGTTCCAGCCTACTCCTTCTTCGGAGGAGGAACAGGTTCCCATACTGCTACTCTTCGCTCAGGTTTGCCTTCTTGGGTCCCTCCTGGGAGGGCTCTGTCGCCACCGCTGGATCCGCCTCAAAATTCTGGTGAGAACGCGCCCCTGAGAGGTCCGCGGAGTAACGGCATCGGTACCTTTCAGTTTCCCCAATTTTCGCCCCAGTCACCATAACGAATTTCGAGCACCAGAAGACTGTCGAGTGTTTGGGCCTGGAGGGCCCTGAATGGTGGCGACACCTACGGGACAGTTTTCACGTGTCGGGCCCTGGGAAAGGTTCGCGGGCGTTTTGTGTCGGTCCGCGGGGTTTGGCCCACCACGCTTCGGCGCGACACGTTATCCATTTTCCCGCCCCCCAGCGTCAACGTCCTGAGCCTTTCCGAGCCTCCCGCCCCGCTCAGCGAAGCGACGCGCGATCCGCTGGCAAGGGATAGAGTGTCGCTGGGGCCGCCGCCGCGACACCCTATGCAAAGTTTCCGACCGTATTCGTTTTACAAGATTCCATATTGAGTGCGATTATGGTTGTACCAGTGCGAGCCGTTTGCCCGTCGTGTCTTTTCCTTTTCCATGCCAGGGCGTGTGGCCCTCCGGCCTTCTCCCGCCCTCTCTCTGCTAATGAAAGCTGTGCGCGCCCCGCTGAGCTTTCAGCGGAGGAGGTTCGCTCTCGCCCCGCAGATCAAAAATGTGGCCCTCCGGCGCCTCTTCCCAAGCGGCGCAGCAGGCCACCTCTCGGGGCGGAGCCATGCGCGAGGCCAGCTTGGCCCAAGGAGTTTCGGCCGTGGGCGACGCTTCCCTGCTGCTCCGACTGCCGGCGACGAGCAACCCCTCGCACAAGTTGTTGCGAGTTTTCGGGAGATCTCGCTGGTTCCCGGAGGGTTTTTCTGCGTCGCCTCCCAGACCCAGATCCCCTCGCGTCGCGACCAACCCCTCTGGGAAGTTGCCGCGAGTTTTCGGGAGTTCTCGATGGTTCCCGGAGGTTCGACGCCACCACTCCGTCGCTGGAAGAAGTGTTGGCATTGAATTGCAGAGTTCGTCTCGCCGCGGGGAACACAAATCGCCAACAACCACTTTGTGAAAGGGTTCATGCAGGACTCTCCGCTTCTTTCTCCGCCTCCTGCGCTTCATGCTTCGCATCTTCTCAATCCTCCTGCTTCTCCTCTTTCCTCCTCCTCTCTCCATCGTTCTCCGATCCGGCATCCTCATCATCCTCGTCCTTACCGCCTGCATCCCATGTCATCGCGAAGAGCAAACCCAGGTCCTCCCACCACAGTTCCGCCTCCCCCATTGTTTTGGCTCAAGACTAGGCCTTTACCACTGCTGGGTATATCCAGTGTGTCTCTGCAGCCAGAGATCCTCCAGCAATGCAGATGTGGGGCGCCATTTCGGCCCTGGTCGTCGTGGCAGGCACCTTCCACCCGGCCGCCGCAGCAGAGGCTCGGGCCGGGGGGGGCGAAGTGGGAAGTGGCGGGCGCACGCGTTGAGTTCTGTCCAGCTGCCTGCGGTAAGTACCGCACCAGTGCCAGCGGAACGTCGACAAACATGTAGGGCTAAGTCGGGCCTGTCCCTCTACAGGGGGGATATATGAAAATAGTCAAAAATAGTCTGGGGGCCATTTGTTGATTATTTTTTGATTAGTCGAGGGTATTTTTGCGTATCTTTAAGCATTCGCCCCAAATTCGCCTGTAGGGGGACACGCCCGACCTGAATGTAGGGCGGTTCGACCAGTGTCTCCAAACAGGCTCGATGGATCTGCCGAGCTCTCCTGAAGCAGCTGGGTTGGACAATCGTTAGCCAGCCACATTGCAGAGGCCCTCGGGCCGCCTTTGGGCTCCCTTGAGACCACCTTTGACAAGGGCTCCCTCGAGGGCGCGAAGTTATTCGCGCTTCGCGCTTCGCGGTCCTCGCTCCTTCTCCCCCTCCTCCTCGTCCTCCTCTTCTCCCTTTGGGAGGGCGGCGCGAGAGCGCGAAGTTATTCGCGCTCTCGCGCAGCGCGAAGCGCGAAGTTGGGAGCCCTAGACCATCTTTGACAATAGTAGAGGGAGCTGCTCGCGCGAGGCAGTCTTAGACCAACGTGTGGCGTAGCGGAATCGGAATGACCGAATGGTTGATTGGTGGATTGCAAAAAAACCGAAGGATTGGAAGAAGGATTGGGTTTTTTGCAATCCTTGGTTGATTGGTGGATTGCAATCCTTCGTTCAAGGAAGGGTTTTTTTGCAATCCAGGGTTTTTTTTGCAATCCTGGGTTTTTTTTGCAATCCTTCGTTGTTGCGTAGCATATGAGAGACTCACTGGAGGCCTCATTTGGAGGCCTTTTCGAGGCTCATTGCAAACCCATGCGGCTTCTCGGAACATATTGCAGCCTCCTCTGGAGTTTGTAGGCTGGTGTTCTTTGTGTCTGCTATCGAGGTCGTATTGGCGCTCTCGCTGGCGATCGTGGGTCTTCTCAGGGGCCGACCTTCTCGAGGGTAGCGCTACAAGGGGGCTCCATCCGTGAAACTACCAGAAGCTGTATCAGACAGCGCAACCGGTATTCAAACACGCCCTGCTGGACTGCGGGTACAGCGGAGTATTGGAAGGCTCGTTCGCGGTGGACGCCTTACACTTGTATAATAATTTGCTAGTGATCTGTTCGATTAGGTTGGTTCGTCTGCGCCATGTGAATCCGAGGTTCGAACGCTCGCGCTCTTTAGGAATGCAGTGCCGGAGCGTGCGCCACGGGCTGCTTGAACGCTCGCGCTTGGTAGAGCATGCAGTGATGGAGTGCACGCCATGGGCTGCCAGAACGCTCGCGCTCGGTAGTGCTGGGAAGCAGTCCGTGGGCTGCTGGAGCGCCCGCGCTCAGTGAAAATCAAGCCCTGGAGCGCACCCTTGCTTCCGGCATGAGCTTCTGGAACGTTCTCCCTCGTAATAAACTGGAGCGCTGGCCCGACACCCTGGTCAGGATTGTAAATATGTTGATAGGGCCTTGGGAGGGGTACGGACCGCGGCGAAAGGGGGGGGTGCTAGCATTGTGCCCATGCCTCGTTCTGAAACGAAGCTAGTTGGTGACACGCCTTGCCGCGTGTGTCGTGGCGTCACGTGTGTGTGTGTGTGTGTGTGCGTGTGCGTGTGCGTGTGCGTGTGCGTGTGCGTGTGCGTGTTTGTGTGGGTGGGGGAGGGGGTGCAGGCGAATCTGTGTACGTGGGTGCGTGCTTGTGCGCGTGCGTGAGCGTACGCGTATGTGCGTATGCATGTGTCCGAACGCGCGCGCGCGTGAGGAGAATGGATCCTGGACGAAAGACAGCAGGAGATAAACGAGTATGAATAGGTTAAGGAGGTCGGAAACAAGACGAAACCCAAAGCCCCCCCCCGATGCATTAACATGATCGTTGCAATCCGGCTAGCAAGAACATTCATCTGGCTGAAAAGTTCGGCCGGCATCGAACATATTTTTGGTTATTGTCCGCTCCTTTTGGGAAGTGTTTGCATGTTAAGGTTCCGCCCCCCTGGTTGCACTGGGGGTGGGGTGCGCGACGTGAGGAGCCAGAATTGGTTGATAGGGAGTGGGTGAGTAAATGCGCCTAGGTTTAGCAGCTTGCGCATCTACAGCGCAATCAAGTCGCAGCGCGTCAGCACCAGCAACACGTGCGCTTGCATCGGGACTTGCAGTACCATCAGTTTTCTGTACAATCTCAGTGGTCAGATTCGTTTGATGGATTTCCGTATCTGGTATGAATGCGGGGATTTGTGACACATGTCACAGCACACATGATACTGCGCACGCGTGAACATACAATTGTCTAGTTGCCTTCGCGCCATCCACCCACCGTGCCCTGGTTGTGTGCCGGAGGCCTTTTGGATTTGTTGTCGGGGTCTCTCGGGATCCTTTTCGGGGACCTCTCGGGGGCCTCTTGAGAGGGGTTCTCGGGGCCTCTTGGGGGCGTGCTGGGGGCCTTTGAGAGACCTCTTGGGCGCCTCTTGGGGCCTCGTGGTCGCTACTGGAGTCTTCTTAGGGGGCATGTCTGGGGTGTTGGTGGCAATCTGTTGGGGAACGGCTCCCAACTTCAGTTCGGGTTCCCCCTCTTGCAGCCCTTGCGAAAACGGCTTAGGCTACTTGGTGGCCTCTTGGGCCGTCTTGGAGCCCATCTGGAGCCGTCTTGGGACCCCCTTGGGGGCCTCTTTGGCTGTCTTAAGGCGATCGTGGGGGCCTTCTGGGCGGTCTTAGAACCTTGAGCGCCCGAACGGGCGAGGACGCCAAACTATGTGAAAAAGGTAGGGGGAGCAATCTATTGGTTGGGCCTCTTGGGGCCCTCTTGGGTGCCACCTTGGAACATCTCTTGGGGCTTCTTGGGGACGGTCGGGGTCTGTCTCGGGGCCTCTTGGACCTTCCCAGGGGCCTCGCTGCACTCTCTGAGCCCATCTTGGGGCTGTCGGACCTCGGGGAAAGTCGCGCGACGAGCCCGAACAATTCTGCGACGAGGCCCCGGAGATCCCGGCCATCGGGGCTCCGGCCCCTGAAGAGCACTTACGTAGAGCATTTTACAACCCACATGATTCCACAAGACCTTGAGACAGAGGGGGCAACACACAACACAAACAACAAACAGCAACAAAAGGACAGGGAGAGAGAGGGGAGGAGGGAAACTTGAGGAGGGAGAAGAGGAGAAGAACGAGCAGGCGGCGGAGGAGGAGTGGAAGAATTGGAGGAGGAGGCGGAGGGCATCTCCGTGGCCATGCCAAGGTTAATTGGCGTCGCTACAGAGGGGGATTGTGAGACTCGTAGTGAGAGCGGTTGTGGCCGTATCAGTAGCAGTAGCAGTAGCATCATTAGCACTTTTTTGTTGCAGTACTAGTACTTAGTAGTGGTAGCATCACAAGACGTGTTGAGAGTGCTGAGCGTTGTGCTAGAAGTGAGCCGTTAGACATCGCAGGAGCAAATCGTGTTACATGTGGCGTCATCATTGGTGGCGAAGCCGCATGCATGTGATAGTACATGTACAGTATTGGCGGCAACTGTGATGTCGGGCAGTTTTCCACAGAGATGTTGGGCCACCCGTCCTCACATAATTTTCACCAAGACCAATCGCAGCGGCACCAGCAGTAACCACCAAACGACAGAACAAACCAGACGAAGCACATGACCGTACAAGCCGTCGAGGTGGTTTGGTCACTGGCCAGGAAAAGCTTGCGCAGCGCGAGATAGGAAAAGTATCCGCGCGACTTGAAACTTATGAGGGCCAGTCAGGTTGATGCGATGAATGACAGTGGTCGAACTGCAATATTCAACGCGGTTCCAGTACGTTTTGGCGGTGGCAAACAGACAAATGGTGACAGTGATATCGAGCTCAGTCGTGATACTGGCTGTGCTTGTTCGGCAAATCGGAGGCCAGATTGCAATGCGTGCCCTCATCCCAGCAGGATTTACAGAAAGGCCGGGTGTGTTTGTGAGTCCAGGTGGAAGGTGGGGGGCCCGCTCGCGCGAATCCGTTTTCGATCGCGGGCCTGTTGGCCGTGGTCGGTTCTGGGCGACGTGACGTCGGTGCGGTCATTCACCCCCCGGCATGCGATGTCTTGCTTTTTCAGAGTGCGCGGTTTCCGGAAGTCGTTTTCCAGAGTTTTCTCCGGTTCTTGGGGCCAGTGTTTCATCCCGAGTCGCTTTTATTAAGGGTCGCAGGGCCAGGTAAGGGCCCCGAGTGGTTGAACATCGCCCAAGACCTCCCGCCGTAATTTTTGTTCACGCCGCGAGCATGTCTGGGACGCTTCTTCTCCATCGGCCCCCGAAGGGGTGGGAGCCAGGACGAGGATAGATCCGTTCCAGAGCTTGCCAGAACGCTCTCGAAGCGTTCCACAGCGCTGTCGCTCTGAGAAGGCCACGGCGCCCGAGACATCCACCAGAACCGCCGGATCTCAGAGATTTTCGATTTGCCGCCGCCTGTTCTTATCCTCGCCTTGGCTTTGTCTTAACCGGCGGGGAGCGAGGGGGAAAAGTGAGAAGGAGAAGGCCTTCGCAGAAGGCGGTGGGACTTATCAGAAGCCCTCGCGCCTTCTGAGATGTTTTTTCTGTCTTCGGAGAAGGCTCAGAAAACTTCTCAGAAGGCCGGGGGACTTCCGAAACCTCTGAGAGGGCCTTCCCCTTCTCACTTCCCCCCTCGCTCGCTGCCGCTTTACAGGTGGGGGCCGGGAGGCCACGCGGTCTCATCGGGGCCCGCGGAGGAGGGGGGGGGCGCGTCGGCGAGGCCTGGTCGGGGGAAGCCCGCGGCATCGCCTCGGGGGGCCACGAAGCCCCACGCCGTGCGGCCCGCCGGTGTCGCCGACTTCTCGGGCCGCTCACGGGTCCCTCGCTTCGGCGGCGCGGCGCGGCCAGGGGTCAAGCAGTGGCGAAGCGTCCTGGCTCGCCTATTAGCCCTACCAAACAATGTTCTAAGAACCTTTCGTGGTTTCCACGAAATGTGCTGAGAACATTTCTGGCGGAGTCTGTCTTGTTTCAACACATGGGGCTAATCTTCTAAGAACATTGCTTTTGTTCTCAGAACGTTTTTGGGATCTAAGAACATTTCGTGTTAGGACTATAGGAATGCCGGGACGGTCGGTCCCTGCTCAAGGGAGAGTGCGGGCCATCTCAGAAGATCGGAGTTCCTTCAGTTTCTTGGATGAGTTTGCTAAGCCTCACCCAAAGACGCAGAGCACACTTCTCACAAGGCTAGAAGGCTTCTGAGAAGTCCCGCCTCCTTCTGAGAGAGCCTTTTCTTTCTCACTGCTCCCCCCCCTCGCTCGCATCTGATTGTCTCGGTATTACCGATATCTGCACGGAAAGAAAGTGTTCGAAGGCCGACAGCAGTTCTTGTTCATTTTGGACACGACTCGCTATGAGCATCGCCGCGGACGTGGTCCATTTGAGACGCAGGGCATCCTGGCCAACAGCGACCGCTATCGGTGTTCGACAATTGTTGTTGTTGGGCATCGTGCGCGCTCATGTCGTCGACAGCGGGGTGCTGCCAGATGTCCCAAACAGTCTCGCCGCCATCGGATGTCCTCTTCTCGGGGGTTGCTATAGGTGTCCCTGGCCCGATGTGCCCCATCACCTCCAAGGGTGCCCTTACTGCCCACAGAGCACTGCTGGAGAACCCCTGGCGACCCACGAGGACCAAAGGGCCCCAGGGGCTCCAAAGTGGGGCGGGAAGCTGGGGGCACCCTGGGACTGCAATCCTTGTATCAACACCCGCAAGAGAGGATATGCGATAGCGGGCTCACGCGTTTGCTTAACGCCTGCTGTTTGAGTGCGACGGCTTCTGGGAGGCCAGGGGGTCCCGGGGACGGGCGGCGCTTTGCCCAGTAGGGGCGCCAGCTCTGAGTCTCGCATAAGCGCGATGGTCGAGCACACAATCGCCGCGTCGGTCTCATGTCTTGACCATTGAGAACAAATTTCGTCTTGGCAGCCAGGTCTCAAACCCAGAACAGCCCCTCGCTTTTATCCGTGTTTGCAGTGTCTATTGGCCTCCAGCTGCGGGTGGCAAGCTCCGCCACCGTGCAAGCGCAGCATCGAAATGCATGCAGGAATGCTCTCGTGCCCTCCCGATCCGACGAGGTAGAACATCCTTGGGACAATATGGTAAGTAGCGATACTATTTGCAGCGTGTGGTGGCGATAACATGGTAGGGTGGTTGCGTTGCCTCTTCAGGGTTTCTTGAACGTTTCTTCGGATTTCTTTGTTGCAGATAGGGGGATTGGAGGGCTCTTGGGAACTTCTTGAGGGCTTCTTTGCGGGTTGTGTGGAGGGTCCTCTTGATGGTTTGTTGGTTCTCCTTCGAAGAAGCTCGGTAGTTCAACATTGGAGCCCTCTGACCTTGGAGCCTTCTTGGGCACGGGTGTCTGCAGTGTTTGGGATTTCTCGAGACACGTTTTGGGTAATCGGCGCCGTCTTGGGCAGTTCTTTGCGGGAGGTCTTGGGGCCCTCTGGGGCAATCATGGACATCTTTGCGGCCTTCTTGGGCGCCGCTCATGCCGAACAGCCAGGCCCGGCTGGATCGAGGGCTCCTTGGGACTTCAAGTGGTTTGAAACCTCATGGGCACGTCCATCTCTAGGATACTTGGGGCTGGGATATTCTGGGTAGTCGAAGGCCAGACTGTCAGACTGGATTGGGCCCCAAGGGCCAATCTGGCCTGGCCATATTGGAGGATTTGGGTTGTTCGCCAGACTGGATTCGCGTTGGCTCCCTCGCCAGATTGCCCCCGTTTGCCAGATTGGGCCTGCCAGATTGGCGCCAGATTGGCTTCGACTACCCAGATATTGTTGTCATCTTGGGCGGTCTCGGGGCCATGGTGCCGTACAGGACGTAGGGAGCTTTCCATTCTGAGCCAGGCTGGTGTGGGCAGGGAGGACGCGCTTAGAAGAATACAGAAAGCACCGGACAGCCGATTGGCATTCTGAATTGTCCCAGCGTGTTGGCGGCACGGTGGTCGATGCGTAGCGGTAGCACTCATGGAGCGAATGGCACAGGCCATCGTTCTTCTAATTTACAATGTTCTTGTATGTGGTTGAACGTCAGAAAGGGTCTACCAAAGTCACCACCACTAGCGTTCGCGATATCATTCCTCAGAGGCGAACCCTCTGGGCAAAGTGCTCGAGCTTCTCAACAAGCTCTCCGAAAAGGTCACCACGGAGGGCGAGAGTGCGGACAAGGCCCGACGTATCTGACTGCGTGGGCGGCATTCCGAGTCGTAAGTCCACGGCCTGCGGGGGTGTCTTGTAACCCAGATGAGAATGAACGAAGGAGGGGACGAACCTCTGGGACCGATTGCGCCATCTGCACCTTGCCCAGCACTTCTTGGGGATGCCCCGGGGTTGGAAGCCAAACGTCGTGAACGTTCGTGGGCGTCCTAGGGCAACCCACTGGCACGCGCCAAGCGGCGCACGAAGGAGGAGCAGGAACAGGAAGATATGGGATGGAGCGAGGAGGAGGAGGAGGAGGAGTAGGAAGAGGAGGAGGAGGAGGAGGAGGAGGAGTTTGCTGTGCATGCTCCAGGCAGAAGCTCCAACCGCTGCGGATTTCGGCGACCCCCCCTATCGTGCTTCTCGGGCTCCCCTGCTTCTCTTAGGGCGGTGGCACATCTGCGAGCTGCCGTCGCCAAGAGTCCCGTCCTCGCAGATACTCCGTTTTGGGCATCGCTGCCACAGGTGCACGCCCTCGACCGCATTACGCCGTCGTCACATCAGTCGGAGCGACCGCCACATCCCGGCGAATATCTCCTTCTCCAGGCCTTCAGGACTCCCCGTGTGAGTTTTAGCTTGCGGCATCGTTGGACCCTTCTGCGCCAGCGCCCGACTACGCTGACTTCCTAGTATGGTGCGTGGAGCACCTTGCCCCGCAATAAATCCAGCCGTTCTTCCGCACGACACGCGCCTGGGGGACCTCGCCGCGGTCCCAGCGGCTCAGCGCGACCTCGCGAGCCGTCTCCGCGAGCAATTCTGGTACACGCGCCGGGGCGGGAGTATGCACTACCGCCGACACTTGCCAGAGGGCACGAGGACAAATCGTCTGATACACCTCTGCACGCGCGACCCGTGTCTGACCCCGCCCGCGCTCCCCGGGCTCTCGGCACGGCCCTAGCCCCGCGACCACCACAGGGGACCCGCCTACTCGCCTCCACGCAGCACAACGACAGCGACCTCTTCGAGTCCGAGGACCCAGACGTCTCCCTGTTCGGACCACCCCAGGCTGCCGCCAGGTTACAGGCGAGGCTGCCTAGGGTGCTCAAGTGCTTGACCTGCTGGGAAGCCGATGACCCGCTTCGGATTCGAACATGAAGTGTGGGACCCTGATGTTCCCGCTCGAGACGTCTTCACAATTCGCTCACAGACGAGGCTCCTTGGGGTGCGCCCCGGCCGCTGGAGCCAACCCGGTCTCATGCCCCGCCCGACGGCGACCCCCGAACGCCCAACGACCCGCACGACGCGGCCGAGCCTCCTGCGCAGGTGCTCGTGGACTCCGTCCACCCTCCGCTGCGACCGTCGCCTGCTGCGGCGCTGGGCGCCGCCAGCACTGCCAGCTTCGACGACACGGGCGTGCGCTTGGCGGGCCCCACGGAGGGCGCACCCCTGGTCTCCCGGGCGTCCCCCCCAGCAGAGGCTTCTCCCAGGGCCGCCACTTCAGCGGAGCATGCTAGGCGCCGCGCACGGGCGCGTTGCTGCACGGACCTCTCCCACCCAGGTGCCCTTGCAGACTCGGCACTTTGGTTTGTGAATCGTCGGGGCCTTGCGATTCCTTGGTAATGTTTTAAGATGGGTACAAGAAACAATGTGGGGGACAGTTCAAGATGAGCACATAATTATTCCCAGCGCTCTAGTGCGCATGTCGAAAGGCGGGCAAACCGGACCGCCGGGGACGTCCCCGCGACCGCCATTTTGAGGCCATCTTTGGCGTCTTGGAGCGCTGTTGGGCTGTTTTGGTTGCTTCTTGGACCGCTCCTCTTGGCGCCTTCTGGCGGCGTCTTCAGCCTCCTGGCGCGATCCCAGCGCGTTCCCGGGGCCCCGTTGCCCACATGGCTCGTCGAGGGGCCGCCCCCCCCGGCGTACATACATATAGGTATAGACAGATGTACATTATTATCTATATATATATATATGAATAGGTATATGCGGATGTATGGTTATGTGTGTATACAGTAGATGTACAAACGTACACATGTGTATATCTCATCCAGGGTCGTTGTCGTCGTCGTCGTCGCCGTCCCCAATCCCATCGCGGGGGGGGGGGGGCCCGAGGGACCCTGAGACCCGTCCCATCTGGGGGGGTGCCCCTGGGCCCCGAGTCCGGGACCATGTATCAATCGCAACTTTCCGGCCTCCGCGGAATATTTTCCAGGGGGAACAGTAAAAACAATTTATTCGGCGGCGGATTCATGGCAGTCGGGATCCCAGCGGGAGGAGGGAGGGGGTCACCATTCACTAATTAGGTTTGCCTAAGGGGTTCTTACTTGGTGAAAGGTTGGTGTCTCCGATTGTTACTTTGCGCGGTGCTCGGAGGTTCCTCGGTTTCCTGGGGTTCCCCGCCCCAGGTGCCTAATGTTCCCCACGTGGGCTCGCATAGGAGGTTCTTACTTGGTTAAAGGTTGGTACCTCGTATTATCACGTTGCCCGTTCCCAGGAGGTTCATCGTGTTCCCCGCCCCCAGTGCCTCGTATTCTTGCGTTGCCCGTTCCTGGGACGTTCCTCGGACGTTCCTCGGGTTCTCCGGGTTCCTCGGGTCCTCCGCCCTGATTGTTGTTCATGTTTCCCAGCAGTGCCAGACAACGCCAGGCAACGTCAAGCAACGCCAAGCAACGCCACACTGATCAAAGCAGCGCAAAGCAACGCCAAACAATGCAAAGCAACACGCCAGGAAACGCCAAGACACGCCAAGCAATCCCAAGCAATGCCAGGCAATTCCAAGCAACGCCAACCAGATCAAAGCAGAGCAACACAACGCCAAGTAATACCAAGCAACACCAAGCAACGCCAAGCAATACCATGCAACGCCAAGCAATGCAAAGCAACGCTAAGTAAGGCCACTCAACGCCAAGCAGCACCAAGCAATGCCAAGCGATGCAATGCAACGCCAAGCAATGCCAAGCAATGCAAAACAATGCCAAACGATGGCAAGCAATGCCAAGAAGTAACAAGCAGTACAAAGCAGCACCAAGCAATGCAAAGCAATGCCAAGCAATGCAATACAATGCAAAGCAAAGCAATGCAATGCCAAGCAATTCACAGCAACGCCGCATAGGAAGCGTTCTCCTCATTGGGGTCGCATCGGGTTCATGTTTAAACAGGTGTTGGACATTCACCCATGAGATCACTATGGTTCAGCGCCGATTCGCGTTGGCTAGCGTCGATTAGCGACGATTTAGCGCCGACGAGCGTCGATCAGCGTCGATGCGCACCAGGCTCCCGCCAGGAGTTTCCGCAGAGCGCACTGCACCCTTATGGCCCTTGGCGCTCTTGCGAACGCCTGCCTGGTGCTGCTTGCCCTGTCGCGGCGGCGAGCCTAGGGGGGCGCCTGCGCCCACGAGCGGCGAGGCAGATGTGATGGCCTGGCTCATTCCCTCTCGAGCGCGCTGCCCCCTGCGCGCACACCGACCACTGGCGGTGCCGCGCCTGCTCCAGCCGGGGGCCCAGCATGCGACCCTGCAGGGCCCAAAAGCCCTGCGCACGCCTCCATTGTGTCAGGCGCGTCGCAGTACCATTGCGTCCCTGGCGATGCCGCACGAAAAAAAAAAAAAAGCCCTCCTCACGCCTCTCCCCCTGGGAACTGCGGCGCGGGGAGCCCCTCACTCGAGCAGCGTTCCTGCGAACGCCCTCCCGCGGCGCCGCTCGCGCGCCTCCCGCGGCCACGGTCTCGCCATAGGCTTGGCATCGCTCGGACGCGTCCATTTGACTTCGGCCAGGACCGTCGGTGTGTAGCGGTATCGGCGCCTCTGGCAGCTGCAGCTGCAGCTCGAATTTGCGACTGCTGAGCCTGGCCCTCCCGCGGACAGCACCGCTCGCCTCTCCCCCCGCGGGTCGCGGAAGCGTCAGACTCGAGTTCGCCGGACCCCGGGTTTGCCGACGCTTTCTGGCGAGCCCGTCCTGGATGTTGACGGTCCAGTTTTCGTGGCATGCTTGGGACGGGAGGTCGCGTCAAATTCCAGATTGGGTCTCGTCACTTTCCTGACTGCCCCGTCAGGCCAACCCGAGTCCTCGAGCCCGAGCATTACAGTCGAGGCTGATCAGTAGGCCGGCCCTGCCAAACCAAGAGTGCCCTCGTGCCCTGTGTTTCACGACCCATGCCTTCCACATCCCTGTGGCCATGTGGCCCTCGGAAGGATCTTCTGTTCTCTCGCGTGTCCTCCCCAACCAGCCCCGACTGTACGTCTCCCTCCGTAGGCGCGGCCATGGCGCGCCGCCTGCCCGCTCCGCCCACGCCGCCTCGGCGTGTCTGGTGGATGCCTCCCCTTCGCACTCGGCGGCGACGGCAGCGAGCCCCGACCTCTGGCGTGCCGCCTGCGCTCGCGCTGCGGCAGTCTTGCGGACCACAGGCTTTCCTATTGACGAGCGAACAACGCACGTATGTCAGGAGGGAAACACACACAGACACAATTTGTCGTCGACTCCCAGGAAAATATGAGAAACAGATGGGGGAAGTGGGGGAAGACAAAAACCCAGAAAATATTGGAAAGTATGGGGAATCCTGTTAGTTGTGCCCATTTATTTGTGTGTCCTTGGGGCTCTTCAAGATTGACGAGCGAACAACACACATATGAGGAAAGTGAGGAGGAGCCAACGAATTTGAAAACCCGGTTTGGACCCCCTGGCGGCGCCTCCAGCACCGATCCGAGGACTTCGCGCGGACCTCCGAGTTTCCATGTGCATTGCACTGCTTTCTCCCCCGACCTCTCCTGAGGTGCATTCTGACGAGAATCTCGAGGAGAACCCAGCCGTGGCGACGAGGACTCTCCAGGACGAGCAGCGGTAGCCGTACAGACGAAGTCCGTGATAAAGACCCACGGCTTTCCCCATGGTGCCCGTGTGTCCTTGCGTTGTTTTTGCGCGTGGTCCTGGCGCCCACTCGGCAGGGACGGGGGGTTGGTTGGATTGGGCCTCGCGTGATGGGGGGGGGGGGGGGGGCGCTGCGTGGGGGAGCAGCGCGCGGGCTGCAGAAAAGATAACCCTTCAGGGCCCCCAGAGGGGCCCTCCAGGGCCCTCAGAAAGGGGGCCTTTCGGGCCCGAGGGGTGCCCCTTTCTTTCCCCCTTCACTGGTCGCCCCCCCCCCCCCCCCCCATGAAGCGACGCTCAATGGGGTATCCTTGCGCCTCTGGGGTGCTGGCAGACCGCCGCGTAAAAATCTGCCAGCGTCTGCGGCCGAGGCCCTTGCGTCCTTGCCGCACGCCCCTGTCAGTATCGCTTGCCGTTCGCGGCCTTCTTCGCTTGCTCTCCTTCTTCCACTGGCGTCTGCGCGTCCTTCGCAGAGTCCCTGGCATCGCTCGGACGTGTGCAAGGTTTTCTCGGCGAGGACCCTGGATGAGCATCCTGGATTATCGAGCAAACAACTCGCGCACGAAACCGAAACATGCACAGGGAGTGGACGCCCGAGCGATGGCAAGAGACAGCACTCGCTGCTGTCTGGCCTGTCTGGCAGCGCCCGGCCCTTCTCCACGGCCGTCTGGGCCCTTCTCCCCGCTCGACGCCGGAGCCCCGTGCAGCAGCTGGAGCCCCGCAGTCAAAAAGCAGGAGGGAACAAAAGCACATAGACACAATCCATCGTCGACTCCGAGGAGAAGATGGAAAACTATGGGAAGTGGGGGGGAAGACAAAAACCCAGAAAATATCGGAAAACATGGGGAATCTTGTTATCTGTATGTACTTATGTGTGTGGATTCGTGCGTGTGTGTGTGTGTGTGTGTGTGTGGGTGTGTTTGTGTGTGTCTGGCTCAGGGTCTCTTCAAAAAAGGATGCGGCAGCGCTCTTGGCGGCGTCTCGTGGGACGCTCCCAGTGTGTCCTGCGGTCTTCGGTCTCGCGTCGTGGAGCCAGTTGCGCGCCGGTGCTTTCATGGGGAGAGAATCGCAGGCCCAGAGGTTGACACACCAGCACCAATGTCGGCGGGGTGCCTCCACCGAGGGATGAAGGCCCCGATCTCGGCGATGGTGGTAAGAGTCTGGCTTCCAAGGTGACCGAAGTATTACCACCAACGCCGAAATCTAGGATCATCTTCCCCCTATGGAGGCAACCCCCAATGGTGTCGAGCGCCTCTGACGGTCCGGGCCCCGCCTGCCGTCGCCGGATCGCACCGGGCCCGGCCGGGCCGCAGCCCGAGCCCGCCGAAGCACGTCCGCGCCGCAGGCATCGGATATGGGTCCCACGCGAGTTCCAGCCAGGAGGAGGAGGAGGAGGAGGAGGAGGAGGAGGAGGAGGAGGAGGAGGAGGAGGAGGAGGAGGGGGAGGAGGGAGGAGGAGGAGGAGGGGGGGGAGGCAGGGAGGGGGAGGAGGGACTAGGGATCATGGCCGAGGGAGGTGGCAGGAGGGAGGAGGGAGCAGAGGCGGCAGAGGAGGGAGGATAATGAGGAGAGAGGAGGGAGAAAGGAGGAGGGCGGGAGGCAGATCAGGGGGAGGAGGCAGAGGAGGCAGTGGGGGAGAGGGATAAGGATTTTGAGACGAGGGAGGCAGGAGGACGACAAGGATCGGGGCCGAGGCCCTGGATGGGGGAACAGGCATGGAGGAGGAGGAGCTTGGTATCGCTCGGACGTGTGCACTTTTTCTCGGCGGGATGATTACGGAGCATCCTGGATCATCCTGCGACAAAAAAAACACGCACGGAACCGAAACAAGCACAGGGAATGGACGTCCGAGCGATGGCCAGGGAGCGGGAGAGCCAGGAGTGAGAGAAGGGCGAGAAGACAGGCGGAGGCGGAGAGGGGGGCGGCAGAGGAGAGGGGGCGGGAGGGGGAGAAGGAGGAGGAGGAGGAGGAGGAGAAGGAGGAGGAGGAGGAGGGAGGAGGGATGAGGGAGGAGGGAGAAGGAGCGGGCAGGAGAAGGGCGAGGGGGGAGCAGGCGGAGAGAGCAGATGGGGCGAGGCCGCCTTCGCAGGGCCAGCGGAGTCGAAGAAGCACGGTGGCGCCTCGGCCAGCCTACGGTGGGTTCGCGCCACGGCGGCAGCAAGGATGCGGGCGTTATCCTTACTCGGAAAAACCAGAACATATACACTACGGTAGGTTTGCGTCGTGTCGACCAGCGGCGACCCCAGCGCGGGCGTTCAAGGTTGAACGCCGCCGGCGACCCAGAATCGATCGATGTTGAACGATCGGACGTTGCGGCAGCGGCCGATCGTTCAAGGTTGAACGATCCCTGCGGTGTCAGGAACCAACGCTGGGGTCGGCACGACACGGACCTGCCGTACGGTGGGTTCGCGCCACGGCGGCAGCAAGGATGCGGGCGTTATCCTTGCTCGGAAACCGGAACATGTACACTACCAGCGGCAGGCTGCTTTTCAATCCCAGGGTTTCTTGGGGGTCAAGGACGACGCTGGGGTGGTGAGGTGTATACTTTTTCCCCGATGTCCCAGGGAAACAAAGAATAATGTATACACCAGGGTCTCGTATAGACCAGGATCCGCTCTCCAGTGCAAAGTCCAATGCAGGGCCGGAAGAAGCGTCGGTGTATAGAGTTCGGTTCCTTACTTTCGTGTTTCCAGACGATCGGACGTCAATGGGGAAAACCACATGACAATTCATGTCCGAGTTTGGGCCTCCTGGGGCCCGATGCCCGAAGAGAAACACAGCAATGTATCCATAGGAATGGTGGGGTCGGGAGCTCCAGAGAACGGCGGATTGAAATGATCACGACGTCGGAGGTCTTGGCGAGACTGCCTCCTCCCCCTGATGCCCAATCTTGAGGCGATTCTGCATTTCTCGCTGCTTTGGTTCGACCCCTTCCCATCAGTTTGGCAGCCAGCTGTGGGAGTCTCGGAGTCCGAGATGTCTCCCCTGACCGGGCGCGGGCATTTCAGATTGAGGAGCCCCGTTCCCCCTTTGGGGCCCCCCTTGCTGCGGAGTCCGCTCGAGATGGAACGGCACACGCGGTAACAGAAGCCAGAGCTCGACCCCGCGTGGCAGGAACTCGTCGTGCCTTCCCTCCCCCATTCCGCCACCTCCCCACGAAGGCCTACAACACGTACGTAGAGTGGTGCGACGACGCTGCCAGCGAGAAGCGCCACGAAATCAAGTCCGGCACGACAAATCTAGACATCCCGCTCCCCGGAGCGTTCGACGCATCTTTTGGTCCCAGGATCTAGCTTGTCGGCACCAGCCCTCTTTCCTCGCAGCAGTGCCTTTGCCTGAAGTGATTGGAACTAGTTGCTGGGACGTCTGATGGCCCCATGGGCAGTACCGTACCCCATGGCTGGTGCCTTAAGATGGCTCGGTGGTGGCGATGTCCGGGGGCCGCCCTGGTGCCCTATGATTGTTGCCATATGGTGCCCCGGTTGTTGCTGTGTTTGGTGGCCGCCTTGCTCTCCCATGGGCGGTGCTCTATGGCGGGTACCCCGTGATGTCCCCGCTGTCGCGGTGTCTGGTGGCCGGCCTGGCGGCCTATGGTCCGTCACCCGTGACGGGTGTTTTGTGATGCCCCAGTCTGTCGCGACTTATGGTGGCCGCCTTCTCGCCTAATGGGCAGTGTTTCCATGGCGGGCGCCCAGTGACGCCCAAGCCTGTTGCGATGTCTGGTTGCCGCACTGGTGCCTTGTGGGTGGTGCCGTGTTGCCGCCCTATGGTGCCCCAGTCTGATGCGATATTTAGCTACCCCCATGGTGCCTGGCAGTTGGTAGCTTACGATGTGTCAGTTGTCGCAATGTGTGGTCTCCGCCTTGGTGTCCGATCGGTACGATCGGTTCTACAGTGCACAATCGTACGATCGGTTGTCGGCGAGGGTGTTCTGGGCGGGACTCCGGTGCAATGGGGCCATCGGTTGTTTTATTCGATTTTTTGTGATAGGATGGAGAAGCTCAGACTGCGAGAAGCAAGTCTTGTGGGCGCCTTCGTGTTCTGTTTGTGGTGCCCTGCCTGGTCCCATTCCGTGCCAGACTTTGTCGCGATTTCAGATTCGCGCCCTGTTTGCCATGTGGGCGATCCACTATGGCTAGTGCCCTGTGATTCCGGGGCTGTCCTAATTTCTGGTGGCCGCCTTGGCGCCGCCCTATGAGTGGTGCCCCACTATCGCTGGTGCCATACGGTGCCCTGGGTGTCGGGGTTTCTGCCTGCCTGTGGTGTGCCATGTAGACGGTGTCTAATGGCGGCGCCATTCGAGGTCCCAGCTGCGATGTCTGATGGTCGCCGTGGTGCGGTATGGTCAGTGCTCTATTCATTCTACCATATGATGCTCCAGTTTTCGTGATCTCTGGTTGCCGCCCCTGTGCCTTCTGGGCAGTGCTCAATGTCTGATGTTCCTTATTAGCCAGTGTGTTGCAGTTCCTGCTTGCCGGTCTGGTGCCATGTGGCTGGTGTACTGTAGTGCATCAGTTGTTGCGGTTTTTGGTTGCCCTTTGGGCAGTGCCCTGTGGCTCCCTATGATGGCCCAGTTGTCACAATTTCCTGCGGCCGTCTTGGTGCCCATAGTCGGTGTTCTATGGTTGGTGATCTACGATGCCCCAGTTGTGGCGATTCATGGTGGCCGCGTGTCTTCCCATACGGCGGTGCCATATGGCTGATGCCAGGTGATGCTCAAGTACGTTGAGACGTTTTGTTTCTATGTTTGTGCGATATTGGTGGAGCTCTACGGCTGGTGCCATCCGCTGACCCAGTTTGGCATTTGCCCTATGACGGCCAAGTCTAATCTGATTTTTGATTGCCGCCCTGGTGCCATCAGGCCTGTGCCATATAATGGCCCAGTTGCCGCGATTTCGAGGTTCCCCCCCCTGGGGCCCCATTAGCGGCGCCCAACGGCTGGTGCGTGCGGAGGCTCAGTCTATTGCAATGTGTGGGTTCTGCAATGGTGCCATGTGGCTGGTGCGTTGTGATGGCGTTGACATCTCTGGTGGCCGCCTTGGTGTCTTATCTGCGGCATTTTGGCTAGTCGATATATGTCAGCCACCCTGGTGCCGAACGAATGCTGCGATCTGGCCAATGCCATACACGTTTCAAGAATGCGTTGGCGAATGGTTCAGTGATTTTGTTACTCGTAATGCTGGTCGTCTTGCTATTCGTAGCAACTGTAGGCGCAACAGTAGTACTACGATTGCATATGCGACGACTTCTGCGACTACTAGCACGACTACGACGAGGACGACGACGAGGATCATTATTGCTACTACCGTGGTGTGTCTTGGAAATGCCCTGTTGTTTTAATCGTTCCCAGCGTTCATTCAAAGAACATGTTTTTCAATAGTTGATTGCTCCCGTTTTGTTTCGTTTCCAGGGCTCCTCTGCGATGTTTTTTTTTGGATCTTTTCCAACGTTAATCCAAGGAACCGTTTTTTCTTTTTTATTTAATTCGAGCACCGTTTTTTCATCGTTTGCAGGTCTGGCTCGCAACGTGCTGCGTTGTACCCGGTATTGACAGGCAACGCACGATAAGAACTCAACGCGCTTATTTCAAAAGGCTTCTCTGAGCTCTTATCGTGCGTTGCCTGTCAATCGCTGTCCATTCCCGTGCGCGCCAGAGCCGGAGACATCGTCGAAGTCATAACGGCGGCGTCGGCGTTGTAACGGCGGCCTCGGTGGCGGTGGCGACATCCTCAATGTTTCCGTTTCCCCTGGGCCACGTGTCGCAGTTGTATGGTTTAGATTGTTTGCAATACGTTTCCAATTTGTTTTCAACGCGTTTCAAGCCTCCCATTCCCGTGGGTCGGACAGCGATTGGCTGGTACCGCGCGATAAGAGCTCGACACTCTCTCAAAACAGCTTCTCTGTTGCACCTCCTGCCCGCTGCAGCCGTAACCTTCCTCCTATGCTGTTTGGTGCTGCTACTGCCAGTTGCTACTGCCTGCTGCTACTGCTCGCTGCTGCTGATGCCCGCCTCGCCGCCCGCCCCGTATTCATTATCATCGGCACTCTCGTGGTGTGTCGCTTGTTCACCAACCAGTTTTTTATAGTGTTCCAGGGGGCCGTTTCCTTACCGTTTCCGGCTTGCGCCGACTCGATTTGAAATAGTTCCCAATAGATTGCGCGGAAAGGTTGTTTGATAGTTTCCAGGGTAAGTTCTTTAATGGTTTCCAGGTTCCCAGGCGCCCGTTTTACAAGACACAAAAGCTGAAAACTAAGGAACGCCCAGGGCGATTCCAAGACACACTAAGACTACTGCTAGTACTAATGCTACGACGAGGACTACTTCGATTAGTTTCGTTTGATACTACGATTACGACTACTAATATCACTACTACTGTCACCATTTCTACTGCCAGTGCTACCATTACAACGACTGATACGACGACTATTGCCAGTAGACTACTAGGACTATTATTGCTTTTGCTACTACTATTCCTACCCTGACGACTACTACTACTACTACTATTACTACTACTACTACTACTACTACTACTACTACTACTACTATGACTACTACTACTACTACTACTATTACTACTACTACTACTACTACTACTAC